CGCGCTACAGAACCTCGCGGTGCATTGTGGGAAGGGGGGGGGGGGGGGGTCATGCACATGAACTGCATACCCAAATGTGTACCTATATTGGTGGGCTACTGCAACAGGCCTAGACAGGGACCTGACCAACTAACTGCTGGTTACTTTGCTTGGTGTGACCCTTCAAATGTTCTCTTAAAGCTACAGTAACAGTCCTGCTATGATGGATAAATACAAATTCATAGAAGGCTGAAATGCTTGCCTATCCTGGTGAAAGCTCTTCTCTTGGCTTACTTCGGTGTTATGGCCACCTTAAAGCTAAACTTCAGTCAAGCAAATGCCTGGCAGGGGAGGCAACCTGATCTTTTTCTACTGCAATTTCACTTTCACTTACATGTCCCTTTCTCACTTTCACCCTGGGACTGGACAGTGAAAGGAAAAGCAAAAGATTAATGAGCTCATCTCTGTGTCACTCTGCTCTCTACAACTATCAACATACTCCTTGCACGTCAACACACCTAATTGATTCCATGTGCTGCTTCTCCCTCCCCCTCTCTAAAGGTCTGCTGTAGAAAAACTGCAAAAGGCTAATACAATGTCAAATTAAGGTATTAATGCTGCCTGCATTTAAAAATACATTTAATACAAAAATAAAAAGGACATATTACTGTATCTGCATCAATTTGTGTCTTTTATACATACATTGAGATCTCATGTGGGCAGGCATACTGCAATTCAATACTAGTGTGCTTTCAGGAAATATTAAACAAACTTCCAACACGGGCTTCTGCTGCTCCCTGTGTCAGATGCTGCCCCAGGCTGGTTATTGTGACTCTATGCTACCTTTCTTGCTTGTTAACATTGAACTATTTGACACGTAGTACCTGTGTTGTTGTCATAAGGCGAATGCAGCAAGTGCTTCCTATTCAACACTTGTGCATATATGTTGTTAGTAATAGTAACCAAGCCAGCTATGAGTTGTAAAGCTTGTAAGTCAATAATAAAGCTGATCAAGGTGCTAAAAATATGCAAAAATGTGCAAATTGTATAAGGTTACTGCTCTACTGTATTTGTTTTAATCATGTACATATAGCCAAAGCTTTTGTTTGTTTTGGGTAGAGTGGGAAAGGGATGGAACCCTGTCAGATTTTTATTGCTATCACTGTGTCCCCACTGGGTATTCTACTATGATGAAATCGATATTTTCTTTCATGTCCCAACATGTTGCAAATGTCAGAATTGACAGAGGGAAGAACAAACTTTAGGTTACCATTGACACTTCTACAATTGTGCTGCCACAACGGTCTGTTTTATTATTTATGTGGGTATTTGGATATGTTTCCTTGTTTCTACCTTCTGTTTTGACACGAGTAGTAGTAGTACAGCTCATACTTAGACACTTCCAGCCCATTCTTACCAGTTACTTTCATTTTACCCTCATTGAGTAAAGAGGTGCAGCTAGAGAGTCAGAAGGCTTATCATTAGGGATGAGCTCAGGTTCGGACAGAACTCAATCTGAATCTGAGCTACTCAGAACAAGGCAGGAAGGTCTTTTTGCTGCCGCCCAATCAGCTGTGGACTTGGTAATTGAACTTATATGGCCGCATGGCCATATTAGGTATATGACATTGACCAAATACACCCGTGTGGCCATATAAGATCAATTATGTCATTGTATGCACCATTTTGACCTTTGAATGTGAAACTATGAGGGGAATTCCCGGGCCCCAGCTTATTGAGCACCAATGAAAGGAGCTTCCTTCCGTGTTTGAAGAAGCTTCCTTCGGTGTTGGGAGGAGCTCCTTCTGTGTAGGGAGAAGCTTAGTTATTGACAGAACCCAGTCCAAACCTGAGCTCATCCCTACTTATCATACAGGAATTATTTTCAGTTGGCAATCTATACCAACAAAACGTACTTTGTAACTTGCCTAGCAAGATTTAATTCTAAGTCAACTTGGTGAGTTGGCACTGTTTGTGGATCTTGTAGTGTCAGCAAGTTGCCATACTGTGCGCACAGGCTGGGTTTCAGAAGGTATGTATTTTGCATAAAGCATCATTTCAAATAATATAACAACATAAAAACTCTTTGATTTTCTACTCCATAATCCCCTAAGGCTAATAGATCCCAGGTCTTCTAGCACTTCACCCCTTATATTTTCTATTGAATACAAAATATACTTGGTATTAAGGGATTTTAAAAGGCGTCAGATATGATTTGTGTTTTTAAAAAAACCTTGATTTATTCCATAAAAATCAAAAAATATTAAAAGCAAGGTTCACAAAAGTATCTCCCTTAGTTTTTGCTTCCGGCTGCCACATATACATTGTACATTTCATTGTCTAGTATATATAAATACTTAATTTCTCATTGAGCAGTCCATTACTCTGTTTACAATTCAGTATGTTGTTTGTCCACTGTGGCATGCGCTTTTAAAATTATTTTGATGTGTTTACATGAGTCTTTTTAGGCTGCTGCAGTGTATTTTTCAGTAATAATAGAAAACAAAATGCAAAGCACCGAACTGTAATAGAATGGTCAATTCCTTAAGAGATGCATTAAGTAGATGCATTTACAAAGCCTGAAAAATATTTTCTTTAGAACGTTACTCTGAACAATATATTCACTCTCAAGAGTACATTTTTTTTAGTCTACATAACTGACTTTTAGAGATATTCTGTTTCCATTTTTCATGATGGCAACTATTTTTGCGACGGTAAAAATTCTCACTGAAGGGTTTAAAATGGTTTCTTGTGAAAATATTTCGCTGTTCAGATAGAGTTCCAGGTCTAAAAATGTTCAAGTCTCTGGATCTGTGACATATGTAAATGAGGATTGTGATACCCTATGAACAGATCTTTCCAAAATCTGATTTAGGTTTGCATAGCTGGGAGCGTAGTTCCAAAGAAAACAATTTCAAAAAGGCACGGAAAGAAGTTCTAAAGAATGTTTTTTCAAAAAGGTATCAATAAAGACAAGATCAAATAAGCCTTTCAAATGTTTCTGTAAATCTCTACATTCTCCACAAAGGCCTGAATCATAATATGAGGACAGGTGTGAAGTTCACTACTGAATTTCACACGCAACACACAAATATAAAAACATTGCCAAGAAAAACTGGTACATACTTCAAGAAGATTCGATCTTAGACCCTGATTTACCTACAAATCCAAAAATCATCTTTCAACATGCTCCAAATGTAGCAAATAAATGGTACTTTGCAAAATAGGACACTCCGGGAAGACTATTTCTTCTTTATCCCTCCATAATGATCTCAAAGGTATTTTTTAATGTAAAAACTAAGATGTAAAACATGATTCTACATTACTTATGGACAAACTTATTTTCAAGATAGGTTGGGTAAGGTTCATCCCATTACCCAATTTCTTAATTGTTCCACTGAGCTTGTGGTATATGGATTAGTCTGTCCTTGTGGCCTCCTATATATAGAGAGGTCCACTAAGACCTTATGGATTTGGTCAACACCGCCATAATATCCAACAAGACTGTGTAAATCAGTGTACCATGTCATTTTGCAAAAAAAAACTTAATAAATCCACAGAAAGGTTATCTTTATTATGTCTTCTGCTGAAAGGATTAGAAGGCTATGTAATCACAAAACATGCTGGATGTTTATTCTCAATGCATTGAGCGCCAATGGGTTAAAAGAAGGACTGGATATTAGTACTATTTTAACATTTTATAATGAGTGTACCTATTTCCTTTTGTATGTTTTCTATTGCGTTTTTTTATTGGACTGTTTATATGCTGAGACTTTGCTATCGCATATTAGTACACTATGATTATATTTTGGCTCCTGATATACAGATAAGTGATCTAAGTTACAATTGTGCAATTGTATAGTGTGCAATAATTTATTCTCATAATTATAGCGTTTTTGTCAATTTCTTATCTGTATTGCATTACCCTCCGTTTTTTATATTTATTTATTTTATATTTATTTTTTAATTTTTTATATTAGCTAACATAATTTTTTTATATATCAGGCATGCATATTTGTATGTATACATATCCAGATTCACCTTCAGTGCAGAATCGTTATAAATCTTACAAGATGAACCATATTCTGGTATTAGTTTTTATTTTACAACATTCTCTTTCATTTGTCTATTAATTCCCTTGGCAGTACTCTGACAGTATGTCATTGTAACATTTTTTTGGTTCTATTTGTATCCTTCTAGTGGTAATATGTATCTGTCTAGTAACATTTGCATCTTTCTATTTACATTAGATGTCAACTCCCTCTAGTGGCCATTTCTTTTTTATCGGTTGTTTTATATAATACATCATTTTATAGTATACACATATACTTTTTACTTTTGACTAAATAGAGCCATGACGTCATGATAGTCTTTTGAAGCACCACTTGTGGAGGTATATTAGAAAGCTACTCATATGTTCTAACTTAAAACCTTAACTTTATATTTGTTGTATACATGGTGATTTCTTTTTAAAATTTTTTGGCAGGATGAGTGTTTTTGCCCAAGATCCGAGGTAACTATTCCCTAACGTTTTATTGATCTATATTCCCATTTGCCTTTGGTATTCTCTTACTGTTTTTTACTTTTTACTATCAGCGCTATTGCCCCACCCTGTCCTGACTCCTTCATATTGGACAATTCTGCTATTTCATCAGGACTTGACAAAGGAGGAGGACATCCAAAATGCATTGCCCATCAATGTCAGCTTTCACTCCACAGCCCTGGAATAACTCTATTGCACTGTGCCGAGGAGAGAGGATGCTGCAGTCTTACTGCCCTGTGCTGTACCTAGGTGGCTTCCACAAGATTCATCCAGACCACCCTCACGTAAACAGTGCTCTTTGCCTCCACTCACACACAGCTCCATTAATGGCCACAGAGAGCTGTTCAGAGTGCACCGTCTTCTGGCTTTGTGCCATGCTAATGACTTTATCTACTTCTGCAAGTGCATCTACTTGTTTCTATTAAAGAAGAACTCCAGAAATGTAAAACACTTACTCTTGCAGTGGGGCTACTCCTGCACTGCAAGGGTTAAGTGCTCATTTTGTCTAGGGGGGTAAAATAAAGCAGATATACTCACCTGATCCTTGGTCCCGTGGTGGTCGGCACTCACCTCTCTCCCCCTCTGCTACAGCAGTGGAATGTCCTTTAGTGTCCTCATGTCTAATGCAGGTCAATGGATGGGTATGTTTTTGATTTTTTTCCAGAGTTCTTCTTTAACTACCTGTAATTAATTGTAATTAAACGGCCGGACAGCGGCTTCTTGAGGGCGGGTGGGCGTCTTTAGACGTTCTATCCCGTTCAGCTCATGCCCGCCGCTAGGCGGCGCGCACGAGCGGGAAACCGGCTTTGAATGTAAACAGCCAGCAATGGCTGTTTACATATAAGCGTTCGGGCGTCTGTGGAGACGCCCGATCGCTGCTGGCGATCCCGGGCTCTGCTGTTCCCGGCCGTGTGAGCCTGGACCAGCACAGCAGCTCTGCGGCCGGAGATCAAACGGAGCTCAGTACACAAGCTCCGTTTGATCTCCTCTCCTCTTCTGAATGCAGGCAGTGATGTGTATTACATCACTGCCTGCATTCAGTGTCACTCTCCGGTACAGAAACCGGAGAGAAGCTTGTGAAGCAGGTCTCTGCTTTATCAGCTTCTCTGGGGGTCCCTAGGTGACATTAGGGGTCTTAAAGACCCCTGATGACTCCATAAAGAGGACCTGTCACTGCAAATTGCCTATCACATAGGGAGCTTGTTTGCTTCCTATGTGATAGCAATAAAGTTCAGTAAAAAAAAAAGGTTTAAAAAAATTTGTTACAAAAAAAAATAAAAAATCACATATCAAATCAATTAAAAAAAAATGTAAGTCCCCCGCCCCCACACGCAAACATGCGTCAAGCCTGCCTACGTTCGAAAACGCTGATTACATCCATTGCGCCGCACATGTTACATATCGCCGCGAACGTCGGAATGAGAGCAATAATTCTGAGGTCATCAATCACTGATAACACTAAACTGATAAGCGGTAAAAGCTTTCAAAGCATCGGCTATGGTAAATTTTGAGTATGGTAGTTTTTTGCGATTTAACGGGTGCGCGACATATTTGGTGTCTATTTACCCGACGTGACCCTGTCTTTTATATTTTACCAAAAAATTGGGTAATAATAAATGTTTTATAACATAACGTAGGGAGAACAGGTTTTTTTTCAAAAATTTCGGTACTTTTTTTATTATACAGTAAAAAAAAAAACCCGCAGTGAAGAAAGCTCTATCTGTCCCCAAAAAATGGTATAAAATTCATTTCAGTACAGCGTTGTATGACAGAATAAATGTCAGTCAAAGTGCCGCAGCGCTGAATACTGAAAAATGGCCTGGCCAGGAAGGGAGTATAAACACCCCGGTCAGCAATTGGCTAAATAATGAACCCTTCTATTACTCTTAGGTCTTTTGCACTTTGTTTTCTATTGTTGTTTAGACACTGGATTATCCCCTATCCATCCTTATACTAAAGGACCTGTGTAAACTTGATTGGAACTTATGAATGATCTTGACATTTGAGTGCAAAGTGGTGACTTTGTTTTGATATTTTAAGAGCATTTTTCCAGCATTGTAATACACATGTATATTAGTAACCAATGATAATGTTGGCTCAGTTCAATGTGTCTGTGTAAAGCACTTACCTAGTGTGATGTTAAATGATGAAAGTGTGAATAGAGTAGTACTTGTCTCATCTGGGCTTACTTCATTATGCAGGCAATGTGCAGCAGTAATAACCCATTTGTTACCTGAAATATATATACATAGCTTAACACAAGATTTATATCATAAAAAAGCACTGCACAGTTCAAATCTAAGCACTGGACCCGTTTCATTTTTGAAACTCTCTAAATAAAGGGTTCACTAAAAAAGCATGTTTCTGATAACTGAAAGTTGTATTAAACTTTATTTTGTTTCCCAATAATTAATCCAGATCAAAAAAATACACATTGCCCAAGCACTTACAGTCATCATGGGGTTGATTTACTAACCTTATAAACACGCCACGAACAAGTATACACCTCTGTAGTGTGTTCCCTCCCAGCATGATCTATTGGTGGAATCTAGACACCTTTGTAGTGTGTACACACCCAGCAGGTGTGTTGTGCAAAGCCCTGCATGAATTGCAAGGTGATGTTGTGTTGTGTAAATTAGCTCTACATTGTGCTGCTTGCGTTGATGAATGCAGGAATGTAAATGCATGAGCTAACCATTTTGTCTAAACTGTGAAGCAGCATTATATATGCATCATTTGCATGATTTTTCCATATATGGCATTAGTGGAAATATGCTTTCAGAGACTTGCATGCCGCTATTAGAGCGGCGTGTAGCCTATGGCGCATGCTACATGACGCGCACGTACGTAAATACATAAAAAGGCGCCATAACAGCGTGAAAATGTGACACGTTGCTCGTGTTTGGTTGATAAATACGTTTTGCCGTGTAAAAATGCACACGCACCTAGTGCGTGCGTGTGTTTAGGTTAGTAAATCACCCCCCATGTGTTAAACCAGCTTGGAAACAGGATAAACAACAGCTTTCTCAGCTCCACTTCCCTGAACTTCCTGTCCAGTACAAGATCACAAGGAACAGACAGTCTCCAGCAACTGTTCATCTACTAGCTTGGATAAGGGGAAGAGAAAAGGAGGGGAGCAGCTTTCCTTGCTGAGCCTCCATGTACTGTATGTAGTTGCCACCGTGAAAGGTTCGTCGATCCATGCTCAACAGGCAAAGTTTGCAATTTTTCTGTTGTGATATAATGGGGTGTGATGAGGACCTCTAGTGTGTGCAATAGTGTATTCCAAGTTTCTCTGGGAAATCTTGCAGTATATTAAAGAGGCCCTTTGCGCACTAATTTACTGTAATTTAGTTTTAAGGCACGCCAACTGTCAAAGTTGCCAGTACCAAACTTTCAAGCCCTCAGATGGCTGGTGTCATAGCTGATCACATGTGCAGCACCATGGCAACTGCAACCCAAATAGAGGCTAAGATGGTACCTCCCTTGGTTGTAAGAAATAGGAGGTTGTAGTTTTACTTTAAGGGAAGGTGTTTGGGTTATTTCCAAAGCTAGAGGGTCTGCATTTTAAAGAGGTAGGCTAAGAGAAGAGATCTTCGGCTTACTGCCCACCAGGTTATTTAGAAAGTAATCTGGCACTATAGAAACTCCTGTGCATGAAGCAATGCTAATAAAGTGAACAAGCAATGAAATCCCCCTGTTTAAATCTTTTAGCAACTTCCAAGTTATGGGCACCTTCAGACACACTCTGGTGATACCCTGTTATGTAGCATTATGACACATTGAGGGGGATTTATCAAAACTGGAGCAGAGAAAATCTGGAGCAGCTGTGCATGGAAACCAATCAGATTCTCTATTTAATTTTCAAATCTTAACTGAACAAACTGAAGAGAGCAGCTGATGGGTTGCCATGGGTAAGTGCTCCAGATTTTCTCTGCTCCAGTTTTGATAAATCCCCCCCCCCTCTGTTGTTATCATTTTGTGGAAGAGCAGCAGCTTTTGAAGACGATAGTAGATAGCCACATATTGTAAAACATAATGGGGGGAATTTATTAAAACTGGAGCAGACAACATCTGGAACAGTTTTTTTGCATGACAACCAATCAGCTTCTCTCTTTCAAATTTTAACTGAACAAACTGAAGTGAAAAGCTGCTCCACATTCTGCCTGCTCCAGTTTTGATACCTTCCCCTCAATAACTCTACAAATACATTTTTTTGCATGTGTATTGCTGATTACAGTCATATAGTTGTGTATTATTTCAGCATGAAGTTTTACATGATAGAGATAAATGTAGGAGACTCTCATGAGTCCTTAAAGATATCTGTTTACTAAATAAAAACAAAATAGGAGTGTGCTTACCAATGAGAGAACCACCACAAAAGGGACGCCCATTCCACGCATTGGAAAACATGGCTATCCAGGGAGAAATCCCTCTCTTGGCTGTACTTCCTCGGGCAATTCTTGCCAGCTTTGACCTGGAAAATCGCGGTTCCCCACATACTACAAACAAACATAATGAGCATCACTTTTTTTTATTTTTCAAGGTACTATTACTTCAAACAATGTACATATGTCTGTCGGAAAACATATTGTTAAATCTAATTCTGTGTTTGCTGCAAATAGCCAATCAGGTGCATGGGAATTTAGAAAACAGACATTTTCCCTGAACCTGGTTGGGTGTTTGAAGCAAACATAGACTAGCATCTACACCACTGCAACATTATTTTTGTATTACAGTTTGTCTAATAAACTGCCACTTTTGGATAGTTGAGTGTGCTAGCTTTTAATTTGGAGCAGAGCATAGAAAAGTCCAAATACCTGTAAGTTCCTGCAGCAAGGTAAAACAGGGTATGAAACAAACTACATGAACATGAATCCACCACATAGACACACTGCTCTTTAGACCCATAATTCAATGGATCTTGAGACTCATAGTCAAGATTGCTATTTGATGCTCTGTTAGAGATATTGGTTTTTTGCTAGGGACAACTGTTTTACACGACCTCCAGTATAAGAAATGTAAACATACACTGTAAAGCTGGACCTTGCTATATAAATTCAGGAAAAAGTAATCATAGTAGTAATAATAAACATACATAGGAAAATTGTCTTGAACTCACTGTAACTACTGTTCTCAATTTTTCCAGTAGATGTCAGCCAAGTAACAACAACGTTTTTATTGAATCAAAAGCATTAGAATTTTTTCAAGCATGATTTACAGCAATCATTGGAAAAAGTTGACATTTGTTATTTAGTAAAATTGCAAACATGTACTGAAAACCACAGCAATCAAATACTTTATTCCTTTCTTTAATTTAAATGAGATACATCAAAGTTAGTAGCTGGCTTGTCACAGCTCATTAGCAGTTTATTCATTGTAAGCCTCTATGAAGAGTCGGAGGTTAACCCTAGCACGCATGAACCTCATTTTTTTCTATCATATGATGTATTATTTAGTAAAGTAACGCACAGAGTGATTAATCTGAAATCTCCCCACCAACTTTCCTAGTGTAAACTGAAATCTGGTTGCTATGACTTATTACAATTTGCACACCTCCATTGCTTTGTGCCTTGCTTTACTGCATACCTGTGGTAGTTTCTGTTTGTGGCCTATTTTGCAGAGTTTCTTTCAACTTTCTTTTAAAGTGAAACTAAACTCAGCAGTTAAACCTTAAAGTAGCATTCAAGTCCAATTTGTTTTTACATATATCTCCTGCTAGCAAGCTTCCGAACGACTGTGCAGGAGGATGATGTGTGCGAGTGCATGTGCAGTCCATATCACCGGAGGGGAGAGGAGTGGAAATTAATGCATGCAGCCGGGAGCGTGCACGCCAGACAGACTCCATGGGACACAGGAAGGAGTCTGCGCTGGAACAAACAGCGGCACCAGCACTGGAGGGACTGTTGGAAAGGACTGGAAGGAAGAAGATGATCGCACCAAGAGGCATCACATAAGGTAAGTACTTACAGAAGAATTAGAATGGGGAAAAGAAAACAAGACTTTAATGTCACTTTAAAAATGAATTCAAGTACCCTAACTATTACCACAAATGTATCTTACTTGTTTATCACTGGGCTGTAGAGCCTCAAATCATCTCTGAATTGGTGCTGACACTGTCCTTCCTTATGGCGGGTGGCTACTTTTGTTCCCTATGGACCCTGTGTGTGTGTTGTAAAATAGCCACCGCTTCTAGCTCACTCCAGTAATGGACTACAGTACAATCTCAAATTTAGTTTACTAATTTGCATTGAGATTGTAGTCTATCAGAGGAACAAGTTTGAAACGGTGGCTACTTTACGACACACACAATGACCATAGAAAACAAAAGTCACCCTCCAGAGGGAAGGACAGTATCGCACCAATTCAGAGATGATTTGAGGATCTACAGCCGAGTGATACACAAATAGCCTACATGTTTGTTAATAGTTATGGTACTTGAATGCATTTTTAGGGTTAACTCCTGAGTTTAGTGTCACTTTTAGTTTTATCTTCCAAAGATATATACTGTATATCACATATACAGGCCTATCAATAGAAGCATGCTTTCTGCTAATATTATTCTGTGACTTGTCAGGCAATATTTAGGCAAATATGAAGTGTATATACAAATGTAGTTTTTTTTTTTTTTTTTAGAGATTAGGTTACTCTTTAAAGTTAAAGAGAAGTTAAAGTAGATGTAAACCCTAACTGAATGATATTTGATTTGCCAAACCTATCTGTATCATAAACTACCTTTTTATTTAAAATACTGTTTTCACCTTTATTTTCCCTCCTTTGCTGCTTTTCAGTGCTGCTGATATCCTGGGACCTCTCTGCAGAAACGTTCCATCTACATGCACTGCATCAATGGCTGAGTGGTATTTCTCAGGGCATTCACACCATTTGCATTCTGTTCCAGAGTGGTAGCTGCTGGAATGCACAGCAATCGCTCCCAAAACCCCCCCCCCCCCCTTTGTTCTGGGGCAGAAGGGGGCGTGGCAGTGCATTGAAGTCCCCATTGACTTTAATGCTTTGCCACGCCCACTCCCGCCCCAGAACAAAGGGGGACGTTTTGTGAGGGATTGCTGTGCGTTCCAGCAGCTATCGCTCAGGAACGCACTGCAATTGGTGTGATTGGGCCCTCAAGGTGGATTAACTGATAGTGATAACAAGCCTCAACCATGTCAATACTGTAGCAAAGCCATTTGTAGTCTCCAGTGGGAGAGCATGTGAGGAACACAGGAGCACAAATGGGAGACAGAGATAGATCATTGTTAAAGATGTCACCAGCACACCATATTGAAGTGAAGAACACATCTGTTTGTTGACGCTTCATGTCAAAACAAATAGCAACATTTTGGGGCAACACAGGGTCCCCTTCATCAGGCTTGAAATGATAGATAGATAGAAAGAAAGATAGATAGATAGATAGATAGATAGATAGATAGATAGATAGATAGATAGATAGATAGATAGATAGAGAGATAGATAGAGCTTGAGAGATAGAGCATTGTCGTCCTATAACAGGAAAAGCCTGAACTGATCTTCATGCCAGAGTCACCAAGTATAATTTTAATGGAAGCTGTGGATTTTAAACACTTTAAATTACATTGACATGTTAATACTTATTAGAGATTGTAGTGTTTAGGATTACATGGCATGGGATTGTATGTTTAAAGAAAATGCTTTAGGAAGAGGAAGTGCAGTGTAAAAAAGTTTTTTGTCATCATTTCTGGCTATCTCCAGAATCCATATTGCGGAGAATAGTAAACAGCATTGATATTAGGATACCTCCCAAGGTTTTGAGATGAGACAGAGGGACACCTTGCAGCACAATGTATTTAGGCAATACCCTTGTTACACCATCAGTTATATGGATCATTGAAAATGTATATACCAAAAATTATTGGTTAAACCCAGAAATGTTTTTGTCACCATTACTTTCCCTTTTTATAGACTTTTTGAAACAGTAAATAAGATAATTAAGAAATAGAATGGAGGTTTTAGTGCAGAATAAAACGTTTGTTAGTTAAATATTACATTTTCATAGATATCTGTATGTCAGAACAAAAGGAGGGACAACTGAGAGGAAAAATGGACAGAGGGATTTGGTTCCAAATGAGGGACAGTCCCTCCAAACGAGGAACTGTTGGGAGGTATAATATCTTTATTGTGCTTTTTTAATAAATTGGTTCACAAAAAATATTTCACCACTAAAGAACATGCAAAAAAATGTATTCAGCACATCTCCTCATTACATATATATCCTCCTTGTTTTGGGCAAGCAATCATATGGATTTCTATGACCATGTAGTGTATAGAGAGTCTTTAACGTTTGCTGAAATTTTGATTACAAGAAGCACACAATTTTTAAATAAAATCTTGGGGGGTGGAGGCATACATTTCATACCAAGAATACTGTTTTAACCACAACTTGCAACAATCAGGCCTATCTGCAGGGTTGATATAGAAAACTTCAGATCATTGCAAATGATCATTATCAAACAGATATTTTTAGACATTATGGAAAATTCCTGTGTGATGAACATCAGTCATTTCCTTTTTTAGGAAGAAATGTGCTGCTTCTGTATGTTAACATGATGTCAAGGCATATCTCAGCATGTTCATTAAAGAGCAAACTTCAACCTACAAGTTTCAGTATGAATCCCTTACTGTCCCATCACTGAGTTTGAGTGTGAATTCCTCACTGTGCTATCACTGAGTTTGAAGGGCTCATTCACTTGGGCATGCACAACCGTACGGCGTACACACCCATGCAGAGACCTGCTCCCAGGAGGGACAGGTGCTGTGTGTAAATGTGTGCAGCCGCTTGTACCTTCCTATGGGAGGACTCGGCTACAAGCAGACCTGAGCCTGCACTTCCATGCAGGCCCAGATGCCTGCACTTGAATGCACACTGTCTGTGTCTGTGTCCAAGAGCGGGCTCCTGGACCTGCATCCTCCCATAGCGAGATACACGCAGCTGCACACAATTACACGCAGCACGTGTTCCTCCCAGGAGCAGGTCTGTGCAGGTCTTTGCAGTATGGATGTGCACACCCGTGTGAATGAACCCTAGGTAATTCACTTTGCTCTTACTGTGTCTGCATATGAATACTTTACTGTGTTGTCGCTACGTTTTAGTGTGTATCACTCACTGTGCCATCACTGAGTTTTTCTTGTTGGTTATCCAAGTTAAGGCCCATGTTTCTTTACCACTGAAAATTCTGGAGATCACTAAATCTGGATGGAATTCACCCATAATGTCTTGTGTAGGAAAAACTGTACTAAGGAATGTGAATTTACCATGCGACTGTGGTCTGGTTATGTACTTCTAAAATAATTCCTAATCTGTGCTGTCAGTGTCTGGAATTATTCTGCGCCACATGTCCCCTTTTCTACAAGAATATGTTTTTGCTGCCAGAAAAAATATATATCTTTGTATGGGTATTTAACTTTAATTAAAACGCATCAACTCTAAGCATGTCAGTAGTGATTTAAAGTGAAACCTTTGCCCTCC